ACTGTGTTAACTTACATTTGACCTGTAATCAACAAAATCTGTGATTAAATTGCCTTATCTTGTGTTATGTTACCTGAGATAAAGACTTGTAATAAGGCTATGTTAGAAGGCGTTAAAGAGCGTTATCCTGCACGTGGTACTTGAGATTAAAACGTGTCATAAAGCTTTTGTTAGAAGGCGTTAAGGAGATATTTTGCTGTTTAAATTGTAGCAGCAATTTAATTTGTGTAATAAATGTCAGGGGCGTACTTCAATAATCTTGCAAATAGCAATAAGATTCTCTCTTTATGTTTAATGCAAATAAAACATTTTGTCTCTCAATTCAAACTGCTGCCGTCGTAGTTTTACCCACTTGATTAAAACGTGATTAAACTTCATTATATTCATGATTGTAGTAAAATTTGTGTACGAAACATTAGAGAGCGAAAGTCAATAATTATGTAATTATTATTATGTTTACTCTTAAAATATATTGGCAATTAAACTTTCATCTTTCAATTCAAACTACTGTCGGTATGGTTTTTGCCCACCTGATGCGTTCATATTCGGACATGCTGCTGCCACCATCTTTGTTAGGATACCTCCTCTCCAGTTTGAATGCATATTCGTCACAAAAAAACGATTCCTCTGGTGAGATATTGTGCATGGGCTAACACACTAACATAGTCAGATTGTGTACGGACTGGTATAGGCAGCGGGCACCCTATAGGCTATGGCGCTCTACTGTTTATGAACACAGGTCTACTGATAGTGTTTTATCATATAGATCTATGCTAGGATACCTCCTCTCCAGTTTGAATGCATATCCGTCACAAAAAAACAATTCCTCTGGTAAGATAATGTGTATGCGCTAACACACTAACGTAGTCAGATTGTGTACGGACTGGTATAGGCAGCGGGCACCCTATAGGCTATGGCGCTCTACTGTTCATGAACACAGGTCTACTGATAGGCTGTACACAATTCCCAGCTATGCTAATGTATGGGCAAATGGTGCTCCGACGTCGGTCGCCGTTGACTGCCAAGATAATTGTTTTCGGCCGTTCTTATACGTTCAAACTGGAGTCGGGCAGGCTGACAGCACGTGTGCATGGTAAAATCCGATCTATAATATTCACTTTTCTCGTATAGCATCACGCCATTGGTTCCGCCACGATATATGATTCCACTAGCGCGAGACTGCGCATGCGCTAACACACTAACGTAGTCAGATTGTGTACGGACTGGTATAGGCAGCGGTCACCCTACAGGCTATGGCACTCCTTATTATATTATACTTGTATAATACATTGCACATAATACATTGTATAATACATGGCACTATATTATATTTGTATACTAGAACTAATACTAATCTACAAGTAAGGCAGGTATTAGTAAATAGTTTCTGCTCCGAGCCTCTAGATAGCGCCTATGCCATTGTATTCATCCTAACGGTGAAGTGAAGAGTATATGGTATTATACGGTGGGAAATCAACCAATGAGCGCTGGGACTGAGAAGTCCCACAAGGCTGAGATCGTATTTGAGTGTATGCGTGAGCTTGAATTTGTTATTTCTCATTAGAAAGGCTTCGCACTCTTAGCAGTTGTTAATTTCAGAAACTAGAATCTTTGCTGAATTCGACAGTTTAAGCGGCTCGTCCGGGATGCGTTGCTGGCGCGGGCGGGGAATTTTCGAAGGAAGCCTACTTTTTCGCCTAAACTCACAATGGAAAGTGGCCATTTCGAGTGCGTGCCGGCAACAGCTTGTTTACCAAAAAAATTATGGAAGCATTTTTGAGTTAACAACATATATGGTGTCACTTGCGACGTGGATTCAGAGGATGGCATTGTGATTTCTCAAAAAATCTTTTGCTGATTTATGGAAATTTTTTCGCAAGTACGGCCGCCAATAGGAAATGATTTCCTACCGTGGTACCAATCTGGATGACAACCATCTGGATTAATTAATTATTAATTCATAATTTATCAATTACCCGTAATGCTCAAAGTAATCTGTAAGTGGGAATATCGACTCGCATACGCATGCTCTATTTTATCACATCCGTCTCGGATCTTAATTAATCTGAGAATCATCCGAGAATCAATGAATCTAAGACAATAAATAATAGCCGAAACACACTAACGGACTCCCCGTTACAGCCATCCCAACATAAATGGTCTAATTAAGCAAGTTTTTACTGATATTGAATGGCTTGTGAGATCTATTTGCATTTCTGCCTACGCTTCACCAGCCTAACTTCGATTAATAGATTAGTATTGATCGATATAAATTTCAATTATTTTTGACGTAATTCTATATAATTTATACTAATTCCGATAATATTGAAAATTTGATAGTAAGTTTATCTAGTAGTGTTCTGTTCACTCATCAAACCTCAAAAATTTTACATTTTCACTAGTCGCGCAATCAGTACTGGTGGTTGTTATCAAACTCCGCGACAGATGGCGCTCTCAATCACCCCCCGGACGATCACCCCCCGGACATTTACCTCCCGCACACACACAACACACACACACCACAACACACACGCACGGTCGCACGCGCCACGAGCACGCGCAAACAAGCACACCCGACGCACATGCCGCGCGCACACGATCACACACGAGCACACAGCCACACACACACACACACACACACACACACACACACACACACACCACACACATATATATATATATAATATATATAATTAATATAAACACACCAAGGCACGTTATTATCTTGTTTATTAATTAAAAGAATTCAACATACATTTAATGATTAATTTAGTTTAAGCTAAGAACTTAGTAGATTGATATGCTCTGCCCGCCTGCCTACCTGCGCGTGCGCGTGTTCGTGCTCGTGGCGTGCGTGCGTGCATCCCACGAACTGTACACAGTAATGTATTGTAACAATTACGGCTGTTTATAGTCAGGCGGGCAAGGCAAAACATCCAATAGCTTAGACACTTGCCCGTGACACGTGCCGATTAACTCTAACATAATAATATTCTCTCTCACCAGCGTTTCATGCACGTTGCGTCATAGTAATATCAAGAAGTAGATAATAACACCAAAGAGTGGCGGCACCCGATTCCCGCATTTTTAAAACACGATTTTCTCATCAATAATTTGCCCAGAGCAATAGAGAAATGCAAGTGTATACGTTTCCTAACAGCCTTATTATGAACCAACTAACAATCCCACCTTCATGGTACTGCGATATTCGTTTACAATAATATTTGCTTAGCGTATGCTGTAAATTCCGTAATCTGCAAGCGAGTCTGAATCGATAGAATTTAACCCGCAAAATGGCGAACTTGTTGCGATGGTGTTTAGACAATATAGAAGCTATCGCCTGCGCCAATATTTAGGCAACGGACGGTTTCCAAATCGATGAGTGCCCCGATAGGGGACTAATTACGTTGATTACCTGCGCCGTGCGTATGTGATACTTACTGCATAACTACTTTACTACAGACAGAATATTGTTTATTAATTGTATCATTACTTATATGTAAGATAAGTATGTCAATTCTTGTGTTGGCGATCATCAATAACTCGAGCGCGTCGTCGCAGGTTCTTCACGAAGATCAAAATTCGAATTTAGATTGTCTACTCAACCCTATCGGGCACGCATGAATTTGAAACTGTCCGTTGCTGCTACCCTTGGCGGAGGTAAAGAGGGCACTCACGGAGAGTGCATACCTCCGCCAGAATGTAACATCCCTAACCCTATTATACACTCCTGGTAACATGTATGTGTTACGAGCTGCTGGCTGCTGCTGACTGACTGGCCTGCTGCTGACTCGACGCGCTAATACTCGATCGCGCGAACACACACAACACACGGAACGGCGGGGCAAGACCCAGATCACACGTAACCTCAATCCCACTGCGTGGGCGAGGTAAAAAGGGAGAGAACGAGACGAGGAAAGAGAGAGAGAGAAGAGAGAAGAGAGAGAGAGAGAGAGAGAGGGGAGGGAGAGAGAGATTGAGATGAAATAGAAAAATGAAGAGGACGAGAGTTTGAGACGGAGACAGAGAGCAAGAAAGATAGAGAAGGAGGAAGAGAGAGCGTGAGCGATGGAGGATGAGAGAGTGAGAGCGATGGAGGAAGAGAGAGCGAGAGCGATGGAGAGAGAGAAGAGAGGGGAGAGCGAAGAGTCAGAGAGGCGATGGAGAGAGAACAGAGCAGAGAGAAGAGAGAGAGCGGAGGAGAGAGAGAGAGAGAGAGAGAGAGAGAGAGAGAGAGAGAGAGAGAGAGAGAGAGATGAGAGGGAGAGAGAGAGAGGGGCCGGAGAGGGAGGGAGAGCGAGAGCGAATGTGATAAGAGAGAGAGAGAGAGAGAGAGACGAGAGAAGAGAGAGAGCGGAGAGTGAGCGCAATGGAGGAGAGTGAGAGAGAGAGAGAGAGAGGAGAGAGAGCAGAGAAGAGAGAGAGAGGAGAAAGAAGAGAGAAGAGAGAGGAGAGAGAGAGAGACGAGAGAGAGAGAGAGAGAGAGAGAGAGAGAGAGCGAGAGTGAGAGCGATGGAGAGAGAGTGAAGAGAGAGAGAGAGAGAGAGCGAGAGAGAGAGACGAGAGAAGTGAAGCGATGAGAGAGAGTGAGAGAGAAGAGAGAGAGAGGAGAGAGAAGAGAAGAGAGAGAGAGAGTGAGAGAGAGAGAGAGAGAGAGAGATAGAGAAAGAGAAGAGAGAGAGTGAGAAGAGAGAGAGAGAGAAGAAGAGATAGAGAAGAGAGAGAAGAGAGAGGGAGAGTATG